AATCATTAGTTGTGCAATGAGGGCTGCGATTGGACAGGCTTGACACAACCGTTTTCCCCCTGACCCTGTGCAATTACTCCTCATGCTACCTGTATGCTCTGCTAAACATTCTTATCAGTTTCCAATCCATGCATTTTACAGCAGCAGCTATGGGGGAGGCTAGATAACACTGGGTATGGGCAGGGGGGGTGCAGTTTGAAATAGTAAGTTATATCTATATTCAGGTCAACAGTACAGACATTGTTTTTCTATGCTACATTTTTCTGTCACTTCCTGGGACACCAGTGTAATAATCATTCATCCAACCTAACTATGGCATGTCACCAAACAGAACTCTTGGTCCTACATACATGTACAACCCTTCCTACAAACTAGCAAAAACAACACAGATCACAAAGGCAGAGAATAATATGCTGTTTACACAAACAAAATATTATCAACGTCAAGGAATATCTAAAACTCTGCCTTATCTATAATCCGTATGCTATTATCTGCGGGATTGCTGGAATTTTATTGTTATTTATTGCCCTACTTTCCATTTTCCTAATAGATAAATCTTGAAGATAACTAATTAAGTTCTAATTAATTTTACAGTACGAGTAATGCATACATAACGGGGGTTTCCACTAGAGATTTAAATGATAAGTCATAAGAGAATACACAATCTGAACATGCCAGTATCAATGGTTTCCTAACATGAATGACACAGTTAGATCTACCTATTGGGTTCACTTATACATTCAGACTACAATAAAATAGAAGGTGACAATAGTTTCATTTTTACTTGTGACAATAACCACCTTCATTTCAGCACCAAGGACAGAACCTACTCAATTGTAAGTTCCAAAAACAGTCATGATTTTATTTCCACTCCAACAATAAGAACATAATTATTGTTATTGGCGAAGCATGAAGGCATTTGATTGGTGTAATCTACAGGTCCACAGGCCAGCACAGCTCTGGTACCTTCCAGCAGAGATTAACAACAATTCTCCTACAAATGGATTATGGATTACAGAAATGGATTATGGATTACAACAATGGATTATGGATTACAGTAATCGATGGTACCTGCGCAGGCCAGCCGCTCTGCTTCTGTGGCTGAACTACCAGTAATTATTCCTGGTTAGCGCCGCCGATGGAGGCCAAACCTGCCAAGCTAATGTTCCAGGCAGTCCTGTGTGATTAAACTTGACCTATCAGGTATTCAGAAAACCACAAGTTGAACTTCAGGAAGAAAATATAACTAGCTGAGCCTGCAAATTGCTGTTCATATTTCCATTTCAAAGTGCCTTAAAAACAGGTTAAACATGCTGCATGGATTTCCGATCCTCCAGAAATTAAACAAAAATCTACACAGCAGTTGCAGTGTTCAATACTATCCACTATCCAGTGCCAATAATAACACACATCACGGCGCAATAGCTGGTCTGGGGAACACTATACTGTATCTGACATGTGAAATCACTGTAATTACGCTAACTCTATACCAAGTAATTACATCGAAGGCATAACGATCAAATTAAGACTTGCGTGAAGGCAATAACCCTTATTTTCTCTTCCAATAACAGGTTAGTGTATCACACGTGTGCAAGCCGTACTAGGCATTTTCTAAAAGTGACAAGCAAGGCCTCATCATCTGTAATCACTAGTAATTTTGCTGAATATAATCATGACACAAAAAAATCAGAAGCCTCCAGGCTTCCAGCAATTCTTCTGAACAATATTGACTTCTTTTCTCCTGCAGAGTCTTATGAACGTTGGGGAGAGGGCATGTTTTAAAGATGCTGAAGCACATCAAGGAAGACTTGTCAAGATTCACATTCCAAACTTCCCATTCAAAACCACCAAACTATCGCATTTACAAGTTTGTAGGAATTTCAGCGACCTCATTGCTGGCTGTTCAGAGCTTTCCCAGTTCTGTATAGAGCGGCAAGAGTGACTCACTGATGCTGGGGAAATTGAGCAGCATTCAGGTTTGAACAAACCGTGAGCTTCTGTAACCCGGGTCTGACCGTGACGCAATCTCACACAACTCAATTTTCCTTATCACGATCAGAAACGTGCCAGTACAGGGGGGGGAAGCTCATCTGGAGTTGCTACTAAGTAGTAATTAAAGCCGAGAAGGCAGCCAGACGTGTAATACAGAGTACATACATGGAAGCAGGGTGGGAATGGTGGTGACGTAGAGTAAAAATGTGTCTTCAGTAGATCTTAATGGTGCTATATTTGTAACTTATAGTTCAGAAACAAGCAAACAGACTGGATAAGTACTAGTATGTCATTTAGAAGCTCATGATCAAGAATTTTAGCCGGAGGTATAGCTAGACGATCTGTCAAGTTTCAAATTGTAATAATGAAAACTAGAACTCCTTGAGCAAAACAGATTTGATGAAACCGTCAGCAGACACACGGCAATAAGTATTCCTGCCGCCACTGGTATTAACTCCACTCTGCTGCAAATTACAAAATCTCTGATTCAACACAATTCATCAATTCTGCAATTAGAAAGTCAGAAAATCTCCATGTTGAGAGTGAGTAGAGAAATATCACAATCATAAGTAAGAAAGTTTGCTTCAGTTTAAAGTTAAACCATCTCAACTACAGACGCTAACTGCTACATGCAAGGCTGATCATACATGTAGTTCACCTACTTTAGATACAATCCAACATTTATAGGAAAAAAACATTCTTGTGAGACGTACAGGAATTTTAGCAGGTTCATGTTTATGGGATACAGCGATGCAGAAAGCTGCGTCCGTGTAAACGACAAGAACTCAGAGTGGTTCCAGATCAACAGCGGAGTCCGTCAGGGCTGTGTTGCTGCCCCCGACCTTTTCAACTGTGTTGTTGACTACCTTATGTCTAAGGTCTCCGAGTGCGTCCCAGGAGTCTCTTTTGGCGGATACAGTCTTGCTGATCTGGAGTACGCCGATGACACGACCTTGCTGGCTGACACTCCCCAAAGACTCAGGGATGCCCTGGCAGTTTTTGATGCAGAAGCCGCCAAGCTTGGCCTTAGTATCAACTGGTCAAAAACTGAGTTGATGCACATAGGGGATGGCCCTGACCCTGCACCGTTCAGCTTTAACAACACCACAGTAAACTTCGTGTCCACCTTCAACTACCTCGGGTCCACAGTCTCCAGGACAGGTGATCTGAAACCCGAAATTGACCGGCGGCGTGGACTAGCAGCAGCGGCCATGCAGGCGCTCTGGAGACCGCTCTGGAAGCACAGACACATCTCGCTAGGCACAAAGCTTCGTGTCTACAATGCCGCAGTGGTCTCAATCCTGCTGTATGGAGCTGAGACCTGGCCACTCAGCAACACTCTGGCAGCTAGACTCGACGGCTTTGACAGCAGATGCCTCAGGAGGATTCTGGGAGTACGCTGGTTCGACCACCTGCCTGGCACCGAGCTCAGGCAAAGGACCCAGCATCCTCCTGCTTCCCGTGTGGCAGCGATGCGCCGAGTCCGCTGGTACGGACATGTCCTACGACTCCCACCCGACCACCCTACACGGGCTATCCTGAACTTCAGCCCCCAGTCTGCTGGGTGGAAGAGACCTCGGGAGGCCCCCCGCACCCGCGGGCCCCCGGACGGACGGACGTCCTGGCCAAGGACCTGGCCCTGGCCAACATCACCCCCGAAGTAGCGCAGGGGCTCGCCCAGGACAGGCCGAGATGGAGGGAGGTGGTCCGCCTAGTAGGCTCGACGCACACCGTGCAAGAGGACTGAGAGTGAGTCATGTTTATGTAACTTCTCAGCTACCCTCCCCAATGCTGAATGGACTCTGCTACTGACCTTTGACCTACAAACCTAAATGAAGCTTTTCACAGAAAAAATTCTCAAGTTGTTCAAATAAAAGACTAAATCAAGACTATAATACTTAACATAATTCTGCAACCCTGACATCGCAAAAAAATATCCCTTCTTTTTCACTCTCGGTACTCTCAATTCCCCTTCAGGCATAAATTTCCAATAAACTTCTATCATTCAGCCAGGATTTACATGTACAGATAAAATACAAGCCATATTCAGGTCCTGGAGATTTAATAATATTGGTGGAGACAAGCAGTAAGGAAATTCCTAGTCACCGCGCAGAGTGGCGTGGTATCAGTGCCTGTGGATATTTAATATGATGTGATAATAATCAAGCCTGGTCCTCCTGGGTTTGAGTAATAACTCTCCCCTTTCCCCGGCGCCACACAGACCCAGCCTGCTGCACAGGGAGGCAGGCCAGCCGCTGCACTAATTAACACGGAATCCTTTAATTAACTCCTAACCACGACCATCCATTACTGTCTGGCAACTGTCAGGTACAGGAGTGCTTCTGTCTGTCACTAGTGTCACAGAACATTCATGTTTGTACCTTCCACAGGTGAGCTAACGTCTAGAACTGTTAGCCACTATCAGGCTTTGGGAGGTGGCTGGAAAGAGTAGAAATTGGCCAAACAGAGAGATAACATGCCGGGGGAGCTGGTCTGCCGAAGCGGGTGCGGCAAAATGTTCTCTCCAGCAGACAAACTCCCCTGGCATGTTATCTCTTTCTTTGCCCGATTTCTACTCTTTCCAGCCGCCTCCCGAAGCCTGGTAGAGACTATAGATCTGTCAGATGCACAGAAAGCACCGCCCCTCCACATACACACCACCTTATGCCCTGTGCATCTCACCTAAGTGCAAAACTTCAGCACTCTAACTTTCCCCAGAAATCAATACACATTATTCCACAGTAAGCCAGCTGAGAGCTCAGCCTCCACGGAATGACGTTTTCGTCAAAGCAGGAACTTAGATTTGGCAGCTTTACAGGAAAAATTGTTTCCTTATTCATCAGCTTCAGACCAGCACTTTCCTGGTCTTCCCTGATCATGACATCTTTGCAGAAAACTCTTTATGAACCTGACAGCAGAAATGCTTCTTACCAACACATACATTTGTAGCTACATATAAAATGTAAATTTTGCCAGGAGTAGAAAAAAGCTTAGTCTGTTGAATGTACCTCTAACGTGTGGTGTTGTTCTCTGTGTGTTCAGGTGTCATCATCGCTCCTTCAGAAGTGTTACCTCCACATGGCTGATCCTTCAAGTCGTCTTCTCGACACAGGGACTTTCACTTGCAGATCACTTCACTTCAACGTGTCTCGTGAGATTTCTGAAGAATAAGAAAAGGACATTTAAAGCAATGGTCAACACTTGACATTCCTGTATTTAGTAATATTGCTGGTATTTGAAAGATGCTCTTCCAAATGAACTTGTCCAAGTAAGGGTTTGAGCTACTGTAACCAAAATTTTTAAGTTTTATCAAATAAAATCTCATTCCTTGGCCAAAATTCTACATTTGTAGATTATATACCCTACACAGGCAGAGAACAACCCTGCACAGCAAAGTTTCTAACCTCCTGTTCAGACAAGTGAAGAAGCTGCACGAAACTTCCTCTGATTTACATCCCTCGACTTTGTTTGCCTGAAATTATCAAGTTATACATTCTTAAGGCATCCAATTACAGCAGCCTGACATCTGGGGTAAACCCAATAAAGGAAAATGTCGCCTGCCGCAAAACCCAATTTATATTCACTATCCATCACCACTACAGAGGAGGGAGGGTCTCAGGATTGTTCTGTAGGATTAATCCTCTTTCAGGGGCAACTTACAAAAATCAGTCTTCCTTATCACCAAGTCTTACGGCCGAAACAAGTTCATTTCTGGGGTATTGGACTCGCAACTTTATCAAGTTCTCACTTGAGAAAAAAAAGATAACAACGTACCAACCCAAAAATTATAATGAATCCAAATTGCTCACATTTTTCCTTGTACTTATTCTAGTGTTTGTCCATTTATCCAGGCATTAACAGTTCAAATCCACTGTCTGAAATGTTACCCAGTCGGGTATGTTGACTTTGTGGCTCCCAGCCCTATGCTGGAAATGGGAGTTTCTAACTGGGTGCCCCTTTATTAATCAGTAACAATTTTCAGTTCAATTTTCTGCCTGCTTCACTATTTTTCTGCCCAAATCTCTGTGAACCAAAAAAACACACTTGGTGTGGCCTAAGGCCTAGAAAAAAATGTTGTGTTTCCTGTTTCCCAACCGACCCTAGAAAAACCTGCCGACCCTTGCCTTTTTTTTATATGTCTTCAAGCAAGTTTAAGTTTGTTAAACTGTATTGTATAAGTTGGGTCACTATATTGAGATTGCTAAAGTCTAAAAAAAAGGACCCTAGTTTTGTTACTGAAACAGGAAACCCACATGTTTTCCCCAGGCCTGAAGCACAACCCTGCGCAGCCTATGAAAGGTAAATCTGGGATAATTAGATCAGTCGGCAGTTATAAAGCGATTTACGCCGAAGGTAATTTCTCTTCACAGGTTTAGTGTCGCTGCACAATAGCATTAAGAACCTGTTGACTGGGAAGTTATTACCCCGTTTTTCACTCCTAAACCCCCCACCATACAACACAGCCTGATTTAATTATAGATACACAGGGGGTGACAAAGTAATTAAGCTGTAAAACACAAGACAATTAGCCTGGTAATTAATTAAAAGAGACAGGGTGATATGATTTAGGGAGAGGGGAACGATTCATCATTTTGCCGTGTCTTCAAGGACACAAAATAGGAGATGTTTGGCAAAATCCATCAACAATGTGCTCAGGAATGTCAGGATTTTAATTAAGGTTGGGATCTGATGAGAAAATCTATTACTCATCTAGAAATTATTTACCATAAAGTCTGACAAGGTTTATCTCACCATGGAGCACTGGAACCGCCTTGGAACCAAGGGCAGGGCTTTGGCTGTTTTCTACAGTTCCTACTGATAATATTTTTTTAGTTGCGACAGATTCATTATGACTGTATTTATTACTAATACTATCATTATTAGGGCAAAGCTTACAGTTAACTATGTTAACAAAAATATGCCAAAAAACAGTTACTCAAGCAACTGGATATGATTTTGAAAACGTCAGACGTTTCAGCTAGTATCCACTAGCTTTCGTCAGTGACTGAGAGACCAGAGGGGAAAGCAGGTTTATATACACAACCTGTTGATTGATATGCAAATAAAGTGAAGACAAATTTTTTGGAAGTCGAAAAAAGGAACAAAAGTCAGACAAGTCAAGACAAGATGATGCAAATTAGTCTGAAAGCTCCTGTTATACAGGACAGGAGCTTAAGTGTTGTCTGTCCTCGGGGCTGGGAGTGCCAAATCCCAAGTGCCGGAAAGATCGACCCGTAGCCCCCCTTCCCTGTTGAGGGTGGGGTTGTACATTCTTTCATATATTGCCTCTTTAACACCCCGTTCCCACCAGCGTGTTTCGCTGTAACAAAAATATGTACAAATGACTGCAACATAGCACGTCGGCAGTACTGCACCTGCGTGAAACCCGTAATGTGTTGTGCATAGCACTTCGGCAGAACGTCTCATATGAAAATTATAAGGTCGTATTCGCGCATAAAAGTTCAACACTCCGTCTGCAGTTTCCAAATGTTGTGTCGGAAAAAGTATCGTCTGCAACAGGCAAAATTCTGCGCAGTTCTGCGCAGGGCCGCAGGCGCAGTACGTTCTGCCGAACTACACAGTATGGAAAATATCAATTACATCAAGTTCTAATCTCAGTAATCCTGAGGAACCCAGCAGCACCTGGGCCGCGGAGGTTAGGAAGTATCAGGAGGAAGTCTGAAGGAGGCTGCAACACCCAAACAGACGATGGGATTTCAACCCAAGGAAATCCCTTAAATCACACTGCAGCTGGACATCGGGTCTAAAATTAAAGTAAGGAAAGTTACAGAAAACAAACGTGTGGAAAGGTGTGATCCACAACTCACCAAAGCCACGATTTCAAGCAAAACATGCTAATATACATCGTACATGACTTTGTACATTACCAGGTAGGCACTAGGTATATTTAAATCACTGCTTGCTTCACGAACTGTCAAAGCTTTGGATCATCACTGGGCACTGGTCTTTCCAATAGGTTAAAGCTAACAAAAACTGAAAAACAAGTTGTCAAAAGGCACAATTCCCCACCCACCAAGGCTCTTCCTGTGGCTGACAAGTCGTGATGTAAAGGTGGCTGAGTACATGTTATTTGGCTAATTGTGAGTGTGGTACTCTCCAAGCAGAGGTTTCGGTTTGAGGTTATTTTTTGGCATGTTTTGGGGCTTTTTTTATCGTGGTTTCTCTTTTGCGCTGGAATACCAGTGCAAAAGAGACACCCTGATAAAAAGCTCAAAAACATGCCAAAAAATAACCTCAAACCGAAACCTCTGCTTGGAGAGTATGAGTGTGGCTGAGTTGTGTAAACTGGCAATTGTGGCCATGTGAATGCAGCCCTGTATAGTGGCTGTACATGTGTTATGTGGCTGACTACATGTATATGAATGCAGCCCTGTTTAGTGGCAGTGCCTATCTCTCCCATCTCAGGATAACCACACTAGAACTAAAGCCACTCCGTAAACCTCCCATGAAAGGTTCCGCAGGCTAAAAGCCTCCTGACTCTATAGACTTTTGAAGAGGCAAACAAATCAGTCCTGGCTGGATGAGATCAGACAAACATAGCGATGAGGCATGTAATCTGCTGGGCTGGGGCTGGGCTGGGGAGAAGAGCTTTTAGTTTACTTGGAGGGACTCATCCTAAAGATTGTAATAGAAGTAAAGTCTATATTTAGATTCTACCCTTCATGACATATTCAGTTGAAATTTATATGTATGTTTGCACCACTGCAAACTAACCAAAAACTGCACCTGACTAGGGTTGTTTAACACTAAACTTTCAACACCCTTTCCCCTCAATCCGTGCAATCTTTTATCACTGTACAATGTAGAATTTTGAGCTGAGAGTGGCACTAAAGACAGGGACGGTAATACTAAAAATTCTTCAGATACAACTACAAATAGTTAAGGTTCCTACACTGTAATACAAGATCAAGTGTTACATAATAATTATTACATGCCATCAGTATATATTATTAACTACACTTGTGCAATACAACTTTACAAGAGCAAGCATACAGTTACTACATGGAGAAGAAAGCTAACATTTGCAAGCAAATGCAGTTTATTTCCCTCCCAATATTTGCCTTGCCTAAACTGTTGTTTGTCCTAAACTTTTGTTTATCCTCAAGTGATATTTTTGTTTTTGGACTGCTGCATCCTGGTGCAGTGCCCCCTTGCAGGAAGGGCAGTACTGCAGCCTGTTTGCTAAAGATGCTAATTTAACATCCAAATGCAAAACCATCAAATACAAATTTCCACTCCAAAATATTAGGGGAAAATAAATTATAGACAATCATTGCCAAAATATTTCAATTTGGAAAAGAAGGTGAGATTATGTTACTTTTATTTGTACTTTTATTTGTACATAATGTATACATGTAAGCTTCTGCTTGTGCTAAATGTGTGTTTTAACAATCTGTTGTGTACATGTATGTGTTTTATTTCTGTACGAGCCCTGGAAGATGAGCCTTTGGGGCTAAAGGGCATTAAATAAAGTGAGAGAAAATGGGCAGTGCTGAAAGCTGTAATTTATCCATCATAATTTGCAGTCTGCCCAAAGAGACGCCGTTTTCATCTGTAAACTGATTTACGGCAGGAGAAGACACAAAGTGCCGGCCACCCCGATGATTAAGGTCGATAAATGCTCCACAATTGAGTGGTGCAGAATCTGGGAGTATTTCCCAGCGGGCTCAAGCAATCAGCAACTGGACGGACAAACCGACCAGCTCCAAACTGGGCTGCTCTGGGCTGCCAGCTCCAGCTCTGGGCTGCCAGGAGTCAGGGCAGGGGAATAACTGTTACAATAACATTTGTGATTCAGTGGAGTTTGGTGGACGGGATGAATTTTAACGTAAAACAAGCCTCTATAGTAGTGAAAATGCAGTTCAATTTCTGGTGTCTTGAATTTAAAAAGATAGAATTAATTGAAATAATAACTTGAAAACAGTGTCTGAGGGGAGTGAATATAATATTATAGATTCATGCAAGGTCTAGTCCTAGGCTCGTGAGCCGTCAGTTTGCATGTTATATTCATGGTGAATGTTTGCTAAAAAATGTCTAAGAACTCCCTCACTTATTATCAGTTAAGCATCTGTTGTTCCCTGAGAAAATTAATTGGTTCAGCCTTCATTGGTTCATCAAAATTTGCATAAATTATTATCT